ATCCGGTATAACAGCTCCCCCACCACCAACAAAAATGATTCAAGCATCATTTTCCACAGATGTCTGAGTAGATTTGTGGGTGTTTATTTGCGATGTACATCAGAGATAATGACGTCTGTAAATACAACTCACGCTGCTTCTAAAAATATCTGTCTGATGCCACTATCTCGAGATGTCTGAGTATCCACATCCAGTCATCTTATAACAAACTCCCATCTCACCGTTTACAGTTCACTTTGTTCTGGTGTCATAACACATTTTTCAAATCAGCAGCATTCTCTAATCAAGAAATCTGGTACAGGCTCCACCAGTTTCAATAACTTTCAGCCATTTGTCCATTTCCAAACTTTAAAGTTCTTTCAACAACCCTCACTTAAAAAATAAATAAATAAAGTCACAGTCAGCATCTCCACTCCTGTCACATTTATCTGTCCTATTTGAAAAAGACCAATCTGGTCACCGCCTCCTCAGTCACACAGAAATAGCCTTGGTAAAAATCACAGATCTATTCATAGAGCACTTAAAAAAAAAAAAAAATCATAGCTGGAGCAAAGTGATATACATAAAAATTAAACATAAAACAAATAGACAAAACTATTACCAAACAATAAAGAATAAATATTAATATAATGTCAACAACAACAACAACAATAACAACAATACTAATACTAATAATAATAATAATAATAAATAAGTAGACAGCCCGGTGGGCAAGTTGTTAGTGCGTCAACCTCACAGTGCAGAGGTACCGGGTTCAATTCCATTTCCGGCCTCCTTGTGTGGAGCTTGCATGTTCTCCCCAGGCCTCCGTGGGATTTCTCCGGGTACTCCGATTTCCTCCCACATTCCAAAACCATGCATGGCAGGCTGATTGAACACTCAAAATTGTCCCTCGTGTTAGTGTGAGCGCGGATGGTTGTTCGTCTCTGTGTGCCCTGCGATTGGCTGGCAACCGGTTCTGCCCGAAGACAGCTGGGATAGGCCCCAGCACCCCCCGCGACCCTTGTGAGGATAAGTGGATCGGAAAATGGATGGATGGATGGATGGATAAATAAGTATTCATTTTTCATGCAAAAGCACCCTTTTGGGCGACACGGTGTTCGACCGGCTAGCACGTCCGCCTCACCAAACCGATTCCAGGCTCTTGTGTGGAATTTATATGTTCTGCCCGTGCCAAAGTGGGATTTCTCCGGGTATTCCGGTTTCCTCCCACATTTCAAATACATGCGCGGTAGGTTTATGGAACACTTTAAATTGCCCTCAGGTGTGACTGTGAGTGTTAATGGTCGTTCGTCTTTGTGTGCCTTGCGGTTAGCTGGCAACCAGTTCAGGGTGTACCAGGGGATAAACTCCAGCACGGCCGCGACCGTCGTGAGGATAAGAGGCTCAGATCATAGAGGGATGGATGCACCCCTTTAAAAAAACAGTCTGACATTGAAACACCTCTACAGCGCCTCCACTCTGTCTTTCTGCTGGTCGCCTCCTGTTCTACTAACATCCCGTTGGTGGTCTTAAGGTGTATGAATCAATGATTAGATTTCCCAGAGAAGGAAGGAAAGACCCGTATGCGCCCATCAAACTAGCATACGGGCGCCGAGTTTTATTTTCTCTCGTTGCAGTCCGTTGAGTGGAGACTTTAATAATGTTCCTCTCTTTCATCGACTAAAGTAAAAGTATGAGGGCAACAGGATGCTAAAATTGTAATCGCGCGTTCATAACGTATGACGTCACTCGAGGTTGTTGCAGCCGCTGATGGTTTGAATGTAAAAAAAAAAAAAAAAAGACGACTCCAGCTTTCTAACAGGCGAACAGAAGTAATAATTTGAATCTTTACTGAATAACAGCAACACAAATAATCAGCAAAAGTGAGTCAGAGCTGCTGCAACAGGCTGTTGATGCTCCGTACCCAGAAATGATTCGATCAAATCAATAATAACCTTCTCATCGGCGTTGATCCTAGATGAAAGTTTACTCTTTCTTTTCAGTCTGAGTGCAGGCTTTGACATGAATTCTAAAACATTCTCTTTGACAGACTGGCATCCATTGGCATGTGAAACACACGCTTCTACTGGCATACATCTACAAAGTATCTGTCAAAATAATCTGACATGTCTGGCATGAACAGTTCATTTGACATTCATTCCACGCCAGATGCACGAATGTCATGTGATATATTTTACAAATTAAAAAACTGAAAACACAGATTTAAATCACAGTGGATCATTAGGTTCAAAATTTCAAATGAAAAATGACCTCCTTATATGTACTATTTCTATTATCTATGTTGTGCTTCTTCTCACGCTGCCGAACCATCATTGGCTCCACGAATTTGCATTGCTGTCAACTGAAAACTTGTTGCACACAGTGTAAGACAAAAGTTCCACCTCCGCACCGTTGAGCTTCCAAACACCAATAACTGAGTGATATGTGGGCTATCACAATACATAGCATTTTTCTTCCTTTAGGACTCATACACTGTTTCCTCATTTACCTACTAATGACGCAGCATCAGGGGGTTCAGTATCTTGCTCAAGGACACTTCAAGGTCGCAATGAAACCGCCAGCCTCTGGGTTGGGAGACGACTACTCTATCACTGAGCCGTCCCGCCCCCACCTTGATCTGTGTGCTAACCAAATGAACTTTGAAAATTGTTAATTTTTCATTTATTTTCTAATCTGTTTATCCTTACGAGGATGGTGGAGCCGACATCTTTCATTAAATGAAATATCTACAGTATGAATGTTATTTTCTTATTGTTCAGTAAATTGACAACTGTCATTGAAGCAGTCTCACTGATAAGACCAACACCTTCATGTACAATAAATGTTATTGCTTATTGTAGTATAGATTAATTTATTGCTTGTGTTGGTTGAACAAAATGTGTGGGACATCCATCCATCAATCCATCCATTTTCTGATCCGCTTTATCCTCACAAGGGTCACGGGGCATGCGGAGCCTATGCCAGCTGTCTTCGGGCAGTAGGCAGGGGACACCCTTAACCAGTTCCCAGCCAATCGCAGGGCACGTAGAGACGAACAACCATCCGCGCTCACGCTCACAACTAGGGACAATTTAGAGTGTTCAATTAGCCTGTCATGCATCTTTTTGGAATATGGGAGGAAACCGGAGTACCCAGAGAAAACCCACGCAGGCACAGGGAGAACATGCAGACTCTACACAGGGAGGCTGGAGCCGGAATCAAACCCTGCACCTCTGCACTGTGAGGTCGACGCGCTAATCACTGGACCACCGGCCCGCCTATATGTGGGACATCACATATAAAATCACAATTGCAATATTGACGGGGAAAAAAAATGCAATTCGCTTATTTTTCAGCCCAAGTTTACACAGTGTTGAACACTGAGGCACACAATCAATGAAAACATGTATGGCAAATTCCAAGAATTTTCCTATTGACAGTGTGAAGTAGCTCTGTGGCTGGTATGCTCACTCTTTTCACAGCCAAAGACTGTGGCAAGATCAGCAGACTTGAGGACATATTGTCTGCATGTGTGTGTGAGGGAGCCTGCACTCGCGAGCAAGAGAGAGAGAGAGAGAGAGAGAGAGAGAGAGAGAGAGAGAGAGAGAGAGAGAGAGAGAGAGAGAGAGAGAATGAAACAGGCCTTCCACTTGTGACAATTATTTCTCCTGATGAGTGCTTCCTCTCCTGACAGAGATACATTCCAGACTTCATATCTGTTGGGAATCAGATGCTTCTGCACCAGCACATGAACAACGCACACCTAAACACTAAAAGAAGAATTGAAAGGAAAATGGCACCCTGTGGTATGATGTAGTGTCAAACAAATTTTTGTCACGGCCCACATCGTAGTTAGGGTTTCCTATGGAGGGTCGTTATGACTGAAGTTCACAGTGTAAATTCAAATAATTGCATGGTTGTCTCAGATTACATGCACACAACAAATCTGTGAATGACTAGCTTTGAAATAGGAGAGCGGTAAACTGTTTGTACTTCTGATACATTTATTTTAAAAGAGGGAATGGAAACAAAGAAATGCTTGCAATATATCAATGTATTTAGCAAGAACAATGATGCACGTAATTTGTTTTGGCAGGCCACATACAATGATGTGGCAGGCCCCCGAGCCTTGAGTTTGACATCGGTGATCGAGACGGTGTACATGAAAGGCTCACTGAACTTCAGACAACAGCAAAGGTGACATTTTGCTATTCGGATGATTTTCTCTGGGTACACGCTTCCTTCTACATGCCAAAAACATGAATGTTGGTTCATTGAAGACTCCAAATTGTCCTTAGGTGTGAATTTGATGAGAATGTCTTTGAATAAACAGTATGTGCCTGCATTTTGCTCGCGACCAATCTTGGGGTGCAACTCACCCACTACACCCAACTGTAGACAACAATTAAAGAGAATTGATGGGGTGCTTCATGAAAGGCTTGCAAAAGAAAGACAACAACAAAGGTTTGTGTGTGTGTGTGAGAGAGAGAGAGAGAGGCTATATCACCACAAAAGCATGGCATGATAAACTCAAATATAAAAAGAAAAAAAAACTCATACATAAAATTTAAAAAAAAACGGGTGGCGTTCCCACGGATCCTCATGCAACTTAAATATACACAAGCAGACGCGCACACAAAATCGCACGAGCAATGTCCTAAAATGCGGACTGTTTATCCCATGCGAATTAGTTTTGTTGTTGTCCGAAAAAATATCGGACATGATCGGAATATATGTTTGTACATGTTAACTACTCCAAATGTATTCTCCATATAGAGAGTGGCATTAGTCACTTGAAAATTCATGAACACACACGCACGCGCGCGCGCGCACACACACACACACACACACACACACACACACACACACACACACACACACGATACCATTTTACGTATCAACCGACTGAGCTGATGCTGCAGGATGACTACAGGCTAGACGGTTACTTTACCTTCTGTCATGCATCCGTGCGTAATATTAATAACCCAGCGTTCAAAAGCATATGTGGGCTTGGTTACCTTGTTGAACTGGACGGGTAGGTCGTTGCAGCTTCGTGCCGCTTTCAACTTGTGTCCCCTGTCCCTAAATCCTCAGTCTGCGGAGTACAGGTGCAGATCCGCTCCAGAGGTTTGCAGTGCTGCGCGTGCCCTCTCTGGCTCTCGTCTCTGGTGTCACAGGCGTGCAGAGTGGCCAGCGGGGCGGAGTGAAGGGGAAGACAGCAGCCTCAGCTACCGGCGCGTCGTCGGAGGAGATGGAACGATGGCAATGATGGCACACTCTGAGCCCTTTCCCGTTTTCAATCCCAACAAAATCCTCTTCAACGAGGGTTTTTGTCGCAACGTTCAGGACAAGTACGTAGCTGAATGCTAGTTCTTTGCACGTACAGATTTATTTGTCTCCCGACTCAAACACACCTGATTTAAAGAATCAGGGTGGTTATTGGGCTTCTTCAGAGCTTGCAGATGAGGTGATCATTTGACATACAAACCATGCAAGACAGTGGCCCTCGAGGACCGGAGCTGGCATAGCTCAATAAAATTTAATAAAAACCATAAAACATGCAAGCTAGCAGACGAAATTTTATTGAGAATATTGTGATAAATGATGCTTCATGTTTATTTCACCTGCAAAGAAATCCACTGAAGTGACATGCAATAAGATTCCTATGTGGAGTTTGCATGTTATCTCCGTGCCTGTGTGGGTTTTCTCCGGGTACTCTGGTTTCCTCCCACATTCCAAAAACGTACATGTCAGGTTAATTGAACACTAAATTGTCCCCAAGTGTGAGCATGAATGGTTTTACGTCTATGTCCTGCAATTGGCTGGCAACCAGTTCGGGGTGTACCCCGCCGACTTCCCAAAGACAACTGGGATAGGCTCCAGCACGCCCACAACCCCACTCTCCGTTGTTTCGTTTTACTTCTCTCGAAAATGTATATTTATTTCGTCTTATACAAGTTAGGTCGCTGTAATGGTGGGGAGAAAATTCTGAAGTGTTTTAAATTTATCTTGGTATCTGGCATTTTGGTGAGTAAACATTTTTTACAGCCACTATGGTTCTGTGAATACTGTGGAGAGGAGCAGTTGAATTAGAAATAAATTGCCTTACACCTGAGAATTTTGTAATTTATTTGAAGTCTGAGTTTTAGGCTGAAAGCCACATTGCTCGAGATTGCTCTGGTCTCACCGAGTGCGTGTTCTTCACAAACATAGACAATCTCTGCGCTGTCTCCTCCCCGCGGTCAGTCGCTGGCTGAGAAAAGAAGAGTGGATAGAAACCATTGGCTGTTATCTTTGCATGGTGGGTTGACATCAATGTGCCGAGTCCCAGTGACAATCTGAGATTAGATGTTCACGTGGCGGAGCAGAGGCAAAACATTATCCGTTTCCACAAATGTGTGAGCAGAAACATGTAGTGTCATAAATGGTTGCAGTGAAACGGTTGAGGGGTTGCGGGTAGGCAATCGGAGATATTTGAGAAAAGTAGACAAAAAATATGCACTAAATGTGTGGGCATGTCACAGCAAGATTAAATGTAATAAATTAAAAGGGATGAATTTTGGAATGTAATTTCAGATTTTCAAATATTTTTAGAATTGATTATTCTATTGATTATTCCATCAATTAATCGAAATGTATTTAGCATAAAATGTATTGCAAAATCGTTTTTTATTGCTGTATTAACCAATTATTGCTGTTTATTTGGTATTGTTTCATGCTAACACAAAACAACTAAACAACAATGAAACCATATCGAGAGAGAGAGAGAGAGAGAGAGAGAGAGAGAGAGAGAGAGAGAGAGAGAGAGAGAGAGAGAAAATAATGTACTCACCAATGTTCTTGTGCTGCTTCTTGGCTATTGATGAATGTGAAGCGCTTCACTTTTGGGCTTCAGTTTAAATTCCAGGTTATTCATACTTTGACTGCAAATAACTTATGATTATGATTATTTTGCAATAGCTCAAAGTGACTTTTTATTTCCATAAATTGATTATGACTCAGTTTATGGTTTGGTCTGTAAAATGTGTGGGATAAAGGGGAAAATGTTGATCATTGTTCTCCAAAGTAAAAGATGTTTTTTTGCAAATGTCTGGTTTTGATCAAACCGAAAAGATGACACTGGGGAACCTATTTTTGTTGTGTTAGGTCTGACAGCTGTTTTAACTACAAACCCAATTCCAATGAAGTTGGGACGTTGTGTTAAACATAAATTAAAAACAGGATACAATGATTTGCAAATCATGCTGCACCTGTATTTAATTGAATACACTACAAAGACAAGATCTTTAATGTTCTTAGTGATTAACTTTGTTTTTAGCAAATAATCATTAACTTAGATATCTATGGCTGATATGCGTTTCAAGCTGTGACAGGGTCATGTTTAGCACTGTGTTACATCACCTTTTCATTTTACAACATTCAAAAAACTTTTGGGAACTGAGGACACTAATTGTTGAAGGTTTGTAGGTGGAGGAATTCTTGCTTGATGTATAGCTTCATCTGTTCAATAGTCCAGGGTCTCCTTTGTCGTATATTACACTTCATTATCTGCCACACATTTTCAATGGGAGACAGGTCTGGACTACAGGCAGGCCAGTCTTGTACCCGCACTCTTTTAGTTCAAAACCATGCTGTTGTAACGCATGCACAATGTGGTTTGGCATTGTCTTGATGAAATAAGCACGGATGTCCATGAAAACGACATTGCTTGGATGGTAGTAAATGTTTCTCCAACACCTGTCGGTACCTTTCAGCATTAATGTTGCCTTCGTAGATGTGTAAGTTTTACCCACACCATTGCCACTAACAGAGCCCTGTACCATCGCAGATGCTGGTTTATGAACTTTGTGCCACTAACAGTCTGAATGGTTCTTTTCCTCTTTGGGCCAGAGGACACAACATTCAAAATTTCCAAAAACAATTTGAAATGTGCACTCTTCAGACAACAGAACACTTTTCCACTTTGCATCAGTCCATCTTAGATAAGCACGGGCATTTCTGGGCACTGTTGAAAAGTGGCTTTTGCTTTCCATAGTAGAGTTTTAAGTTGCATTGATGGATGTAGCGCCAAATTGCATTTACTGTTGTTCTGAAGTGTTCCTGAGCCCATGTGGTGATATCCTTTATACACTGATGTTGTTTATTTTATTTATTTTTATGCAGTGCCGCCTGTGGGATCAAAGGTCACAGGCATTCCATTGTTGGTTTTCGGCCTTGCCGCTTACATGAAGTGATTTATCCAGGTTGTCTGAGTCATCCATCCATCCATCACCTGAACCCCTTTTTCCTCATGAGTGCTGCGGGTGTGCTAGAGCCAATACCAGCTGACTTCAGGCAGAAGGCGAGATACACCCTGAAGTGGTTGCCAGCCAATCGCAGAGCACAAACATCCATTGACACTCACAATCACAACTAGGGAAAGTTTAGAGTGAGAAATTAACCTGCGGTGTATGTTTTTGGAATGTGGGAGGAAACCGGAGTACCCAGAGAAAACCCACACAGACACGGGAAGAAAATCCAAACTCCACACAGTAAGGCTGGGGTTGCAATCGAACCTCTACACCAGGGGTGGTCAACCAGTCAGAGACGCACGCACGCACGCACGCACGCACGCACGCACACGCACACACACACACACACACACACACACACACACATGCAGGCATGTGCGCATATGCAGGCACGCACAGGCACCAAGATGAGCGAGAGCCAAAACTTCACTGAACACGAACGAAATCGAAACACACAGACCCCCCATTTTCTCCTCCCAACGCTCGCGCTCGACTTGGGACCAGTCCGCTGTCTCCGGGTCAATCGCGATTGACGTATTGGGCACCCCTACCTTTAATATAGCTGACTCGCTTAGTGCTTAGCACTGAGCACCATTGTTTGCGCATGAGCGGTGATTCAGTTGTCATCTGATTGGTTGCCCTGTTTGTCGATCATTAGCGCTTAGCACCGTTATTTGCGCATGAGCGGTGATTCAGTTGTCATCTGATTGGTTGCCCTGTATGTCAATCAAGTAGCGGGATTGATTATAGGCTGACATAGTTAGTTCTGTGTATTTAGCGCCGTTGTTTAAATGGCAGTGCCACCGCAGAGGCGTTTTCGAAGCTTGTCATCTGAAAGCCCAGGAGCCGCATTGAACCAGCCAAAGAGCCGCATGCGGCTCGCGAGCCGCGGGTTGGCCACCCCTGCTCTACACTGTGAGGCAGACATGCTAACAAGTCGACCACCATGATCTGTGATTTTTAAATTTTTTTTGATCCTGAAACACGGTGCCAATGCAGCGATTTTAAAACTGGTGTAATGTGCTTCCATCATCTGGTCCTTCTCAGGACTCGCGCGACTGAGTTCTGGAGTCGCTGTAAGTTTGAAATACTCTTTTATAGCAAGACCAGAGAGCAAAGCGGTACAATAATCTAAGCGTCAGGGAATAAAAGCATGCATCAGCACTTCCGTGTTAGCCTGAGAGAGAAACGGGTGAACTTTGGCTATATTCTTGAGATGATAAAAATGAATCTACCGGTAAGTTACATTTTTAATACGCGAAATAAAACGACTGCCCAAAGACCGCTGGGATATCCTCCAGCATGGCTGCGACCCTCGTGAAGATATGTGGTTTGGTTTGTGGTTGGATGCAGGGATATTATATAAATAAGGGGAAGTAAAGAGGAACTAATTCAATTGCTCAATTTCTGTGGCTTAAATGAAAACTTTCTTCCAAAAAAGATGGATAGAAATCTCTGGTTACAAAACACAATAATCTATCCCACCAGCGATCACCTCCCAGTTCTCGCCACATTCACTTTACAATAATAAACTATTTTAAATGATAACTACAATTATGGATGGTGTAAACGGGAACCCTACAGAGCGACTTTAGACCAAAAAAAGAACATCAATTTGTTTACCGCTTCCCAAAGTTTCGACCAACAAGCAATGCTCCCCAGTTCTCACACAAGCCGGAGAGGAAACAATACCTCAAAATTCAGATGAAACTCACACTCAGTTATTACCCCATCAACTCGTAAGTAAAAAAAGAAACCTGAGGTGGCAATTTATTAGGTCCAGGTTTCCACATTCCAAAACTGCAATCAACAAACTAGAAAACATGATTAAAAATTTGCTCCTCTATGGACACCAATGCAGCCACAGTTCACCACCACTAAAATCCTCAAGTGATACTTGTCACGTAGCAAGGTGGTG